AAAGATGTAGCTCAGGCATCACCCACCTCCAGGTAGCCTTCCTGATTGTGCCATACCCAGGTGGGCTCAGGGGCTGCCTCTGTTCTCTGGGCATCAGAGGCTGCCTCCTTATCCCAGGGTCAGCTCTTACAGAAGTCCAGGCACGGGATGACGGTGGATGGATCAGGACTGAGGGTCAGAGACACTGAGAGGCAGACAGCTTTGGGACGCACTCAGCGAGATCAGTGGGATTTGCTGCAGGGTGGCTGTCAGGGTGCAGGGGAGAATTCTGGACCGGCCCTGTCTTAATCTCTCTCTTCCCTCCAATCCCAGGAGAGCAAATGAGGCAGAAGGACTTGCAGGCTCAGCTCACCAGCTCCAACCTCAGGAACTTGAGGATCACCAACTTCCATGGCTGGGAGGGAGCCTTTCCAGACAGAGTTCTGGGCATCCGGGGCCAGGAGGTGAGCGCCTTGCAGACCTCCAGCCTCCTGTTCTCTGTGTCGCTGGTGACCTTCCAAGCGTCTACGTTTCTGGTTTATGTCACTCTAGTTTCTATGCCAAGCAGGACTGGGGAAGGAGTGTGGGGGTCAGGGGGTGAGGTAGGTGGAGCCTCCCAGATCCTACCACCCTGTCCATTGAAACCCACACATTCGGGATCCTGTGCTCTTGGGGTTCCTGCTGTCTTCTGTGTGAATGAATTAATCACATTCTGGTGAAGGTGGCAGCGGCTGATGAGGTCTGCTGTTCTGAGAGTTCCAAGCTTCTACTGATGTGGGGAGGAGGATTCAGGTGCAGGCAGGCTGCAGAGGTAGAATCCGGGGTCTGAGTGGCTTCCCTGCTGCTGGCCAGCACATGTCCACAGCCGCCCTGTCACTGACGTGATCTTTGTCCTGCCGTTCTGTAATTTATTTATGATGGCTGTCAGAACAAACTTCCTAAAGCGCAGCTTTTGGAAGAATTTTAAAATGTTGATACATAGTCCAGGCACAGTGACTCACACCTGCCATCCCAGCTCTTAGGGAGGCTGAGGCGGCTTGAACCCGGGTGGAGATTGCAATGAGCTGAGATTATGCCACTTCACTCCAGCCTGGGCGACAGAGCAAGACTTCATCTTAAAAACAAAATGAAACAAAAGGACCACAAATGGCACCAACACCTAGAGCCCTCCCGTGCTGCTCTCCCCAGGCTCAGTGCTCATGTCTGTCACCTTCACAGAGAGGCCTTTCCTGACCACCTTCTCCACCACCACAGCACCTCTCCTCATGCTAGTGCACCTGACACCGGCACCTTTCTCTTTACTTTTTTTTTTTTTGAAGACAGTCTTGCTCTGTTCCCCAAGCTGGAGTGCTGGGGCGCAATCTCAGCTCACTGCAACCTCCACCTCCCAAGTTTAAGCAATCCTCCCACCTCAGCCTCCTGAGTAGCTAGGATTACAGATGGGGTGCCACCACACCTGGCTCATTTCTTTTTTTTTTTTTTTGTACTTTAAGTAGAGATGGCATTTCACCATGTTGGCCAGGCTGGTCTTGAACTCCTAACCTCAAGGGATTTATCCACCTCGGCCTTCCAAAGTGCTGGGATTACAGGCATGAGCCACGGCACCTGGCCACACCTGCTTTAGTATTTATTCTTCATAGCACTTTCCACCCGATGTGCTGTCTGTGTTAATGGTTTGTTTGTGGATCGCCTGTCTCTTTCCTTCTCATTAGAATGATGGATCCATTAAGAGAGCAGCAACTTTGTTTTGCTCACTGCTGTTTCTCCAGAGCCTGGAACCCTGCCAGGTATATGATAACCAGGTAGTAGTTATTAGTGGAATGAATGAATATAAGAATGAATGAATGGCCAGGTGCTGTGGCTCGTGCCTGTAATCCCAGCACTTTGGGAGGCCGAGGTGGGTGGATTGCTTGAGTTCAGGAGTTTGAGACCTGCCTGGACAACATGGTGATACGTCATCTCTACTAAAAATAAAAAAATTAACTAGGTATGGTGGTGCACGCCTATAATCCCAGCTACTCAGGAGGCTGAGGCAAGAGAATTGCCTGCACCCAGGAGGTGGAGGTTGCAGTGAGTCGAGATCGTGCCACTGTACTCTAGCCTGTCAGAAAGAGTGAGACTCTGTCTCAAAAATAAATAAAAATAATTTTTAAAAAAGAATGAAAGACAAGAAGGCCTAGATAGAAGGAATAAGTTACAGTAATCAATAGTGCACAAGGGAAATTACAGTGAATGGGAATTTTTTTTTTTTTTTTGAGACAGAGTTTCGCTCTCGTGACCCAGGCTGGAGTGCAATGGCGCAATCTCGGCTCACAGCAACCTCCGCCTCCTGGGTTCAGGCAATTCTCCTGCCTCAGCCTCCCGAGTAGCTGGGATTACAGGCACGCGCCACCATGCCCAGCTAATTTTTTGTATTTTTAGTACAGACAGGGTCTCACCATGTTGACCAAGATGGTCTCGATCTCTTGACCTCGTGATCCACCCGCCTCGGCCTCCCAAAGTGCTGGGATTACAGGCTTGAGCCACCGCGCCCGGCCCGTGAATGGGAATTTATTTGCATATTTCAAAATGTCTAGAAGAGAAGGATTTTTGTGTTCCCAAAACAAAAGATAAATATTTGAGGTGATAACTGCCTGAGCTACCCTGATTTGATCATTACATATTGTCTACAGCTGGGGTCCCCAACCTCCCAGGCCATGGATCAGTACCAGTCTGTGGCCTGTTTCTGTTGTTTTTGGTTTTTTTGAGACAGAGTCTCACTCTGTGTGGTGGTGCAATTTCAGGTCAATGTAACCTCCACCTCCAAGGTTCAAGCAATTCTCCTGCCTCAGCCTCCTGAGTAGCTGGGATTACAGGCATGTACTACCACTCTCGGCCAATTTTTGTATTTTTAGTAAAGACAGTTTCACGATGTTGACCAGGCTGGTTTCCAACTCCTTTATTCCAGTGATTCACCCGCCTCAGCCTCCCAAAGTGCTGGGATTACAAGTGTGAGCCATCACGCCCAGCCCTTTTTTTTTTTTTTTTCCTGAGATTGAGTTTCACTCTAGTTGCCCGGGCTGGAATGCAATGGCATGATCTTGGCTCACCGCAACCTCTGCCTCCCAGATTCAAGTGACTTTCCTGCCTCAGACTCTCAAGTAGCTGGGATTACAGGTATAAGCCACCACACCAGGCTAATTTTTATATTTCTAGTAGAGACAGGGTGTCTCCACATTGGTCAGGTTGGTCTTGAACTCCCGACCTCAGGTGATCCACCCCCCCCCAGTCTCCCAAAGTGCTGGGATTACTGGTGTGAGCCACCGCGCCCAGCTCACCTGTTAGGAACTGGGCAGGCAACATAGCAGGTGAGCAGCAGGCGGGTGAGGGAGGCTCCATCTGTGTTCACAGCCACTCCTTATTGTTGGCATCACCGCTTGAGCTCCACCTTCTGTCAGGTTGGTGGCAGGGTTAGATTCTCATAGAAGTGCAACCCCCACTGTAAACAGCACATGCGAGGGAGCTGGGCTGCATGCTCCTCATGAGAATCTAATGCCTGATGATCTATCGCTGTCTCCCCTCACCACTGGAAGGGACCATCTGGTTTCAGGAAAACAAGCCCAGGGCTCCCACTGATTCTATATTATGGTGAGTTGTGTATTTTATTATATATACAATGTAATAATAATAGAAGTAGGCCAGGTGCAGTGGCTCATGCCTGTCATCCCAGCACTTTGGGAGGCTGAGGCAGGTGGATCCCCTGAGGTCAGGAATTCCAGACCAGCCTGGCCAACATGGTGAAACCGCGTCTCTACTAAAAGTACAAAAACTAGCCAGGCATGGTGGCAGGTGCCTGTAATCCCAGCTACTTGGGAGGCTGACGCAGGAGAATTGCTTGAACCCAGGAGCAGAGATTGCAGCGAGCCAAGATCGCAGTATTTTGGGAGGCTAAAGTGGGCGGATCACCTGAAGTCAGGAGTTTGAGAGCAGCCTGGCCAAATGGTGAAACCCCATGTCTAATAAAAATATAGAAATTAGCTGAGTGTGGTGGCAGGTGCCTATAATCTGAGCTAGTCGGGAGGCTGAGGCAGAAGAATTGCTTAAACTCAGGAGGTGGAGGTTGCAGTGAGCTGAGATCATGTCCCTGCACTCCAGCCTGGGCGATAGAACAAGATTCTGTCTCCAAATAAAACAGGCAAGCTAGTCACAATGGCTTGTATCTATAATCCCAGAACTTTGGGAGGCCAAGATGGGAGAAACACTGGAGGCTAGGAGTTCCAGGTAAATCTGGGCAACATAGCAAGACCCCATCTCTACAAAACATTTTTTAAAAAATTATCCAGACACAGTGGCATGTGCCTGTAGTCTCAGCTACTCAGGAGGCTGAGGCAAGAGGATTGCTGGAGCCCAGGAGGTGGAGGCGAGCCATGCTTGTGCCACTGCACTCCAGCCTGGGTGAGACTCTGTCTCTCAAAAAAAGAATTCAGAGTAGAGAAAGGTATGAATTGTAAGTTCAAGCATGCCACGTCCCACATTTCTCAAGAAATCTGCATTCATTTCCCAGCGCTGCCTTAACAAAGTACCCTAACCTGTGTGGCTTCAACCACAGAGATTTATTCTCACAGTTCTGGAGACCAGGGGTCTGAAGTCAAGGGGTTTTGGTTTCTGTGTTTGTTCTTCCTGTGCAGGCTGTGAGGGAGGGTCTGTCCCAGGTCTTGTTCCTGGATTCTCATAGCCTCCAGAGTTCCTTGGCTTGTAGGTGGTCTTCTGTCTCTGTTTTGACATTGTCTTCCCTTTGTAGGTGTCTGTGTCCACACATCCCCTTTTTGTAAGGACACGAGGCATGCGGGATTAGGGTTCACCCTCATCACCTCAGCTTAGCTTGATCATATGTGAAGAACCTATTTCCAAATAAGGTCACATCCACAGACCCTGCGGCGTAGGGCTTCAGCGTCTTTCAGGGAGACACAGTACAACGTATAGCATGATAGATTTGCAAATATTTTTAGTTTGGGTTTCTGGGTTCTATTTTTTCTTTTTCACATCAGATGGGTGATGTGATGATGTCATAACAAGTTTTGAGGAAGGCACATATTATACTTGTACAATAGCATGAAAACCCAATTATCATGCTTAGGTTTTGGTTTTTTAATTTTAATTTTAATTTTTCTTGAGGCAGGATCTTGCTCTGTCACTCAGGTTGGAGGGCAGTGGTGCAAACATGGCTCGCTGCAGCCTTGACCTCCTGGGCTCTAGCGATCTTCTCATCTCAGCCTCCCAAAGTGCCAGGATTATAGGCATGAGCCACCATGCCCAGCTAGTCCCTATTTTTTCTTTGTACCTTGCTCTTTTTACTCAAAAATATACCTTTGCAGCTGGGCATGGTGGCTCACACCTGTAATCCTCAGCACTTTGGGAGGCCGAGGCAGATGCATCACTTGAGGTTAAGAGTTCAAGACCAGGCGCCTAATTTCAGCTGGTCCACCCGAGGCCCCCTGGGCACCAACCCTAGTCCCCCGCGTGACCCCTTATTCCCTCCGACAAGATGAAAGAAACAATCATGAACCAGGAAAAACTCGCCAAACTGCAGGCACAAGTGCGCATTGGTGGGAAAGGAACTGCTCGCAGAAAGAAGAAGGTGGTTCATAGAACAGCTACAGCAGATGATAAAAAACTTCAGTTCTCCTTAAAGAAGTTAGGGGTGAACAATATCTCTGGTATTGAAGAGGTGAATATGTTTACAAACCAAGGAACAGTGATCCACTTTAACAACCCTAAAGTTCAGGCATCTCTGGCAGCGAACACTTTCACCATTACAGGCCATGCTGAGACAAAGCAGCGGACAGAAATGCTACCCAGCATCTTAAACCAGCTTGGGGCAGACAGTCTGACCAGTTTAAGGAGACTGGCTGAAGCTCTGCCCAAACAATCTGTGGATGGAAAAGCACCGCTTGCTACTGGAGAGGAGGATGATGATGAAGTTCCAGATCTTGTGGAGAATTTTGATGAGGCTTCCAAGAATGAGGCAAACTGAATTGAGTCAACTTCTGAAGATAAAACTTGAAGAAGTTACTGGGAGCTGCTATTTTATATTATGACTGCTTTTTAAGAAATTTTTGTTTATGGATCTGATAAAATCTAGATCTCTAATATTTTTAAGCCCAAGCCCCTTGGACACTGCAGCTCTTTTCAGTTTTTTGCTTATACACAATTCATTCTTTGCAGCTAATTAAGCCGAAGAAGCCTGGGAATCAAGTTTGAAACCAAGGTTAATAAAGTTCTTTGCCTAGTAAAAAAAAAAAAGAGTTCAAGACCAGCCTGGCCAACATAGTGTAACACCTTCTCTACTAAAAATACGAAAATGAGCTGGGCGTGGTGGTGCATGCCTGTAATCCTAGTGACTCCGGAAGCTGAGACAGGAGAATCACTTGAACCCCGGAGGCGGAGGTTACAGTGAGCCAAGTTTGTACTACAGCATTCCAAGCTGGGTAGCAGAGTGAGACTCTGACTCAAAAAAAGAAAAAGGAAATACACACACACACACACACACACACACACACACACACACCCCTTGGCAGTCTTTTTGTATATCAACATACACTGGTACAATTTAAATTCTATTGTAGATTTCATTTAGATTAATTCTATCTAAATACTATTCTATTAAGTTCTACAATTTAAAAAGCAGGTGATGCATTTAAATGATTCAAAGTTCAAAAGCTACGAAAGGGTATAGAACTGAGTCTCCAATATGGCAGCCAGTGGCGTATGTGTTTATTGAAATCTGAGTGAGGCCAGGTATGGTGGCTCAAGCCTATAGTCCCAGCACTTTGGGAGGCCAAGTCAGGTGGCTCACCTGAGGTCAGGAGTTTGAGACCAGTCTGACCAACATGGTGAAACCCCATCTCTACTAAAAACACAGAACATAGCCAGATGCGGTGGTGAGCCCCTGTAATCCCATCTACTTGGGAAGATGAGGCAGAATTGCTTGAACCTGGGGGACAGAGGTTGCAGTGAGCCAAAATCATGCAATTTCACTCCAGCCTGGGCAACAGAGCAAGACTCCATCTCAAAAAAAAAAAAAATCTAAGTGAATTAGCATTAAAGAAAATGAAAGATTTGGTTCTTTGGCTGTGTGGGCCACATTTCAGGTGCTCCACAGCTGCACGTGGTCCTGAAACATGGTCCTCATTGCAGAACGCTGTTGGCTGGTGCTGGTGCAGCCTTAAAGCCTCTCTCCCACCCCTCCTGAAAGCCAACCGCTGTTAGGGTTTTTTTGGCGATTCCTTTCCGAGATGATCTGTGCACACAATCAGCACATGGAGTTAATATATCCACTTAAAAACCCAGCACCTCCCGTGTAGTGCAGATGACCATGCAGTAGTCCGTGGAATGGAATGTATTCAGCTAGTTTCATAATGAAGGCCTCTTACGTTTTTCCCAGGTTTCCTCTCTTACACTCTGTGGTGAACACCATTCTCTCTGCAGAGTAAATTCTTAACAGTGGAATTCCCTGGCCACAAGGTTTATATGTTTTTTTCTCATTTATTTTCTCTTTTCTTCCTTCTTTCCTTTCTCTCCCTCCCTCTATTCCTTCTCTTCTCCTCTTCCTACCTCTTTCCCTCCCTTTCCCCCTTGTCTTTTCCCCCTTTCTTCCCACATCCTCTCTTCTCTCTCCCTCACTTTTCTCTTTCTTTTACAAGGTCTTCTATGCAGTGGCATCATCCTAGATCACTGCAGCCTCGAACCCCTGGGCTCAAGTGATCCTCTTGCCTCAGCCTCCCAAGTAGCTGGGACTAAGGCCTTTGCCACCATGCTTTTCTATTTTTTTTTTTTCTTTATTTCTTTTTTGTGGAGATGGGTCTTACTATGTTGTCCAGGCTCATTTTTATCTCAGTAGGTGCTTTTCAAGGGTTCTTAACGAAGGGTACTTGGATGGAACTTAGTGAGTCACTTGAAGCCCTTGTCATGGTGTTGAAGTTTTGTGTCTGTCTCCTCCCTCCTGGGGAGAAGATTTAAAACTTCTATCCCCTTTTCATGCAGATCGGTGACTTCAAAAATATACTAATGTTGGGAGGCCAAGGAGGGAGGATCCCTTGAAGTCAGGAATTTGGGACCAGGCTGGCCAAGATGGTGAAACCCTGTCTCTACTAAAAATACAAGAATTAGATGGGCGTGGTGGTGCACACCTGTAGGCCCAGTTTCTCGGGAGGCTGAGGCAGGTGAATTGCTTAAATCTGGGAGGTGGAGGTTTCGGTGAGTCAAGATCATGCCACTGCACTCCAGCCAGGGTACAAATAACAGCTTTAGACTTGATCCTGCCAGGCATGACCCCTGGGCACGTTCAGCAGTGGATCTCCCGATTCTGGCTGAGTTTCCAGTGTCTTCTCAGGCCTGGAGTGGAGCGTCTGAAGCCGGGGCTGGATGTCTTGCTGCATAAATGCACTCTTCACTTCCAGCTCTGCCATCAGCCTGGGTGGAGAGAAGACCCATGTCAGGGGAGAGCCATCTTCCTCCTAAAGCCCCACCTGCCTGATGGCTGAGACTTATGCCTCCTTTCTAGAACTCCTGGGGCCCCTGAACTTCTCACTGTTTGCTAAATGTGCAAGCACGGGTTGCCTGTACCTCCCCTCGGACCTTCCTGCCACTCCCTATAAAGCTGTCTGCAGCCTGTAAATGTTTATTTGCTTTTGGAGAAATTCTAGTTCCATCCACCCCAGACTCATCACAATTACAGTAATAGCTGGCACTCTGAAACTTTCTGGAGCCTGTTCCAGCAGACAAGAGGTCCCTTCTTCAAGTCCTCTGTGTAACCCCATATGAGATGAGGAAACTGAAGCTGATGAGCTCATGAATACTAAGTGCCAGAGCTTGAGTTCAACATGTCTCGAAGTTTATGGGATTTAAGGTTGGTGTGGGCAGGGTTCTGTTTGGCACCCCGTCCCCTGGTGTGTGTGGGGTTGGGTCCTGGGTTGCTTGGAGAGCCCAGCTTACACCTGTTGGCCTGACGCATTTATAACTAGTGTACTCTTTAACTGCAAAGTGTTGTGGTTTGGGTGAGAAAGTCTGTGCTCACCCTGTTCACGTGCACCCCTAAGGAAGCTCTGACACCACCATGCAGCCTCTGATGCAAACTGGAGAAAGCTGGCGCTAGGATGTGCCTGTCAGCAGTAAAAGCTGCGAGCATCTACATCCACATGTAGACATATCTGTACACATACATTCATATACACACATCCATATATATATATACATCTTTACACACATCTGTACACACATGTCCATATACACACACATTCATACACACATCTACATGTAGGCACATCCATGTACACACACATCCATATCCACATTCATACACACATACCTATGTATATCTACACACACACACACACACTTCTGTATACACACACATCCATGTACAGATACATCTGTACACTCATGCACACACATTCATACACACACATCCGTGGGGATCAGGGAAAGACAGCATTAATTAGTGACGGTCTGGTAATAGCAAGTGTTGTCTTGACATCTTTTGGGTGAACTGACCAGCTAGTGGCCATCAGAGGAGTGTGTGGGGTGGATCTGCAGGCTGGTGGGGCCATCAAAGATGATATTTGTAGTTGCTCATGGCTTTTCTAGAGGATCTCCTGTATGGGGCCTTGGAGTGTAGTGAGCTGTCCCCGTGGCCCACCTGCCAGTGTCTGCACCAGTTACCAACAAAGCTCTGGCTTCACTGGCCTTCTCAAGGACTTTGGATTGTACTGGAAGAAACGCTAGTGTACCATCATTCGACGTGTCTGGTCACCACGTGGAGTTACCAGCGGCAGGATGGGAGCCGGGAGAGCCAGGACGATGCTGCCATGAGACAGGCGCACGACAACCAGGGCTGGAGCTGGTGCGCAGCGTAGGTGGCAGAAGGGGTCGATTCTAGACAGATTCCATAGTGACGGTCGACTGAGTTCCTGATGGATCCAACAAGGGGGTTGAGAGGAGAGAAGAAGAGTCCTTTGTATTTATGTCTGAGTTTATAACACAGGTTTCTACTTTTGATAAATCTGGAGTTTAAAAAATTGGGGAAGGGCTGGGCACAGTGGCTCACGCCTGCAATCCCAGCACTTTGGGAGGCCAAGGTGGGTGGAT